ACATGCTTTAAACTATTTTTCTTGGTGTCGCATTGAAAGGAGGGTGTTCTGTAGTTTTGTTTTCACTGTTTGCTACCTGCTCTCTTCTTCGGGTTCCTATTTCAGCATTTTTACTAATCCAGCATCCAAATATTTTTATGTTTTTCCTACTGCCCTCGCGTGAACAACTGAAAAAAAAGCTGCTCTTCATCGTTTCTTTCTTCAAAATGGGACGTTACATGTATGCTCGCTCGCTCGCTCGTATCTTCTATTGGTCTTGCTTCTGTCGGTTTTGTTGTATCGTTGGCAGTAAGAAATAAGGTGAACGTTTTGAGCTCCGGTAATCCTGTGGCCCTGTTTGTTATTGTTCAGGAAAAAACCACCCGGGACGTAGGTTCATTCAAATCCCAGCTGACCATGGATAGTCGCATTGATGTCTTTTCGATGTTTTTCTGCAAGCGACATCACAGTTTAGTGGTAGACGTTAAATATGATGAGTAAGGTGGAACACTCTTCTCGAACAGCTCCTTCTGGTGTCCACTTTTCAGAATTATCAACATTTGATTTCATGCTGCAGGAGGTTGACTCATGAAGAGCAATTTTTGTGCTGCGGAGTTTTCTATTGGTTAACGGGTTTATAGACCATTTAATCGTAAAATTTTCCACGACATTTGCCAAAATTTAGTCTCATCAAAAATATTTGATTTATATACTATGGGTTATTATTTTTCTGTCAATTACAAAATCTGTAAATATGAGATGTCTTGTCACACTTTGGTTCATCTGATCACAAAATTTTACCACAAAACAAAAGTTTCATAGAGATCCATTCATGTTAAATGAAAAATTCCCGCGTTAGGTGAAAATTACCATTCCAAATAAATCATGAACTAAAGCAATGTGCTGATTTTTTGGTGGTCAAAGAAAAGAAAAATTTGCTCCATGAAACAACGTTAAGGGAGAAGAAACGGAAAAAAAATTCATAAAATTGATTTGATTTGAAAACTTTTGAAAAATTTTTTCACATAAACCATCGTCTACAAAAAGCATTAAATATACGCATTCCAGATGCAAGGTCGAAGACAAAATGGGCAACGAAAAAAAAATCATTATACACATTATAATCGATTATAATGGAAAACATATAATTTAGAAATTGGGATGAAATAATCGATTATAATTGATTGTAAAGGTATAGAAAAATAGATTGATTAACAACGATTACAATCGATTAAAATGTATTATTTGTGAATGAAATTTGATTTCAAAAAGATAGATTATAATTGTTTATTCACTGATTAAATTTAATCTTTTTCTCATATTTAGAAAGTTTGGAACTTAAATCAAAATGAAATCGACTACTAACACTAAAAATTGAATGCGGACATACAATTTCAACTACTAAATCAAATTCTGAACTCAACCTGTAACTGAAACTATATTTAGTACAGATTTTGCTTATTGCAGGGGTAAAGATAGAATTTGCCGGTTGCAATACAAAAAGTGTAGAAGCTTCCTACCTTTTTTATGATTGGAAAAAGTTTGAAATTTTTTTTTCTACTGATTATCAAATGTTTAGATTTTGATTTTTTGTGGCGTGGTGACTGAGACAATACCTAGTGTGGCCAGAAAACGAAATCAACGTTTTTAGGCCGAAGTTTTCTTATTGATTTGCCTTTGGTTAAAATAACTTTTGTTTATCTTTCTTTGCTGTTGTTTTTTTCTTTGATTTTGTCGGCAAGGTACTGACAAGTCAAAAACTAAGCTTGTCTCTGAGCTCTGATATCCGAGACAAATATGCACCAAAGTGAGTGTCACCTAAATGTACAGATAGCTTTAATTGCGCAAAATTACCGAACAGATCCAAGAGTTGGCTTTTTTTACCCAAAGCTTAAGTTCAGAGATTTTGAGAGAATGTAAGTTAACCAGTTAACCTTGAACTTCCGCCTTTCTCAAAATCTAAGAAAGTTTTTGCTCGCCTCGTATGCGTTACAAACAAGATTTTGTTTCTAAAAAAAACTTCAGAAAGATTGAAAGAAAAGAAGTTTCAGTATCAAAAGGTTTTTATACCTGCGAAAATCTTTTATCAATTTTATGTGAACTAAAAAAATAAGTGGCTTGTTGAAATCTCTCAGAAATCAATCAAAATAAAATAGAGGCAAATGAATTGACTTCAACGAGCTTGAACAGTGTAGTTTGTTCTGACTTTTTGGGCTCGTTTGCATTTGGGTAGACAAACGTTCATTTTTTGACCTTCTCTGTCACATTTTGAATATAAACGCATAAATTAAAAAGAGGACCAAACTTCAGTGCTTTTCAACCTGATATAAACAATCTCGTACTTTGTTTTTGTTTTTGCAAAAAAATGTACTAACCAATTGAAGGAAACTCGAATGCAAAAGGCTCCTTTGGACAAAGATGTGGTTCCAAAAAGTTAACTCCAATAAGATTAAATTAATTTCTCGCCTTTTATAATTTTTTTTCAAAAGTTTACAAATTTTTCGGTTGTTATCATAATTTGAAACAAAAGCGTTTTTACAAGAGAAATCAACTTAACTTAAGCTAAAATCCATTTTAAATTCTATTATCATTCTCAAACTCTTTCGGATTTTCCTAAAAACTCTAGTTGTTGGCTTCATAACTTTTTTTGCTTATGCAGATGTTAAAATTGAAATTTCAAATGTTACGAATAGCATAGACAAATGGAACTTTTCGATATATGATCTGTTTTGTAGCAATATTTCATGATGAACTTCGAAGAAGCTAGATGGGTGTCCATTTTGGTGTCAGAATAAAAAAAAACATATCAGTTATGATTCTAATTCTGATACATCTTTAGTAATCATATTTAAATTTTCATTTTACTGCTAGAAGGAGGCAAGTGGATTTGAAAATTTTCTGAGAAGTTTTTTTGACTCATTTAATTAGCTATAGCTTATTTTTGCAGCTCAATTTCACAATTAGCACGCTAATAATCAGCGATAAAAAACAGGGGCGGATCTAGTAGTTTCTTGAAAGGCGGATATGAGAAAACAGACTTAGAAAAAAACATTTGGAAAAGTTTGAGGGTCGCATTTATAAAAGGTAGTTTTCAGTGAAAAATTGGTGTCCGATAATTGATGCTAATAGTAGAAATTTGTAAAAAAAAAAAAAAAAAAAAAAAAACGTTTAATAAAGGCTTCTGACTTTAATAAAGATTTTTTGGACTTTTTGAAAAAGAACAATCTCTCTCGTCCACTATTAAGAACCCTTTACAACTTGCAATTTTTTTGTATTTATGGGGTTTTTATTTTGCTAACTTGTCTTCGAAACTTTAGATAATTTTTTCTTGTTAATTTTGTGAATGAATAGCGAAGATGCAAATAATGTGTTCTTCGATGCTGAAACCATGCTTTTATTGTTCCGACTTTCAAAGAAAACATAATATTGATGCTTGGTGTGGTTTTTATTATTCGGTCAAATTTCGGCGATTGAAATTATAATAGTTTTTAACAAAAATTTTTCATACCCCATTGATGATACTGACTCTCTGAAATCAAATGTTAAAAGTTATTTTGCCTCCGATCAATTTTTGCAGAGTTTCGGGAGTTTGAAATTTGCAGTTTTGGCCATAATCTGGACTGATTCATGTGCGCTTTGAAGGATTTATTCATAATGCTGAAAGCGTAAGGCGAACTATTTATGCTTGGCAAATTATCCCGCACAACAAAATCATTCCAAATTGCTTTGAGGCTAGCTAGTCGGTTGTATTATTTTTGTCTCGCTCAAATGTTTACTTGATCATAGATAAAGTAAACAAACTGTTCGAGACCAAATGAAGGGCCGTCGAAAAGTTCAGGGTTTTGCCTTAATATACGAGCAGTCTTTATATTTCGGCCTCCTCGACTTTTTGTTTCGACTTTGAGTTCGACTATAGGGACTTCACCACTATAGACTTTTGATGAAACTCTGACATGTGTCCGACCCGCCTTGGTAGAAATACAAATCACAAACTTAGAACCGGGATTATTTGTGTTCGTGTTTTTTTCACTACTTTTTTCTGAATGCGTTTTATACCGTTGAGCAAAACTTGAAAACAAAAACCGACAAAAAGCAGTTAAAAGTTATTAGTATTGCTGCTTTTGGGCAATTCAGAAGCTTGCCCATCTTTCAGTAAAAGTTTGCAACTTGTAAGGTTATGGGGGTTCGAAAATTGTCATCTCTGGCCAATTTGAGACAATTAACGCGCGATATATTTCGCGCTATTAACGCGTAAGCGGAGATTTTATCCGTCTTAGAAATTGTTTCAAATTGGTTGAAGAAAGTTTATTTGCCCTAATTTACTTGTTACTAAGAGCAAAATTTATCACTTGGAATTATATATAGCGTGAGGGGGATGATTTTCAAAAAAACTAATGAAAAAAAATGTCATTTTTTTATTACATTTAGTTTTTTCATGTCATTACTGCTCCATAGACCTTAAAAGGCAGTGGGTACATTCAGGGCTTCGCCCTGATACGAGCAGTCTTGTATCATTTTGTACTTAGTATGGCGTTTGGGGGATGATTTTCACAAAAAATCTCAAATTTTTAAATTTTTGTCTTTTCATCTTGTTTTATTACCTTTAATTTTATCATGTTATTACTGCTCGATAGACTTTTAAAGGGCAGTCGGAACACTCGGGGCTTTGCCCTGATGCGAGCAGTCTTGTTCAAACTCAATTTAAACCCAATTTTTTTTCCGCATACTGTTTTGTGCCATGCTCTACCGTTACCCCACCTAGCTCGGAAACGAGAGTTGCTGGTTTAACTAGTTAAAATTTGACATAATTTAAGCAAGCGTTTGTTTTAGGGATATTTTCTAAGTCAGATACAGCTAATCTGACAACGATTGATTGGCCAAGATTTTTGAAAAATATTATGATATAACTTTTCCCATTTGAAGACAATTCCCATGACTCATCTTTCCAATTTGCCCGTGTTTATGAGTGGTTTGCCCTTATTTCTTATTCAGAAAGGGTATTGTTTTTTTTTTACTTTAAGGACAATCCCGATGGCACAGACTGCCAACCTGGCGATGAGTGACCTGACAGTGTCGGCCATGAATGTAGTGTCCACTTGGAGTCTGCTGCTGTTCGATGCCAACCTAATGACCAAGTACAACTTCATCTGTCTCATCACTGGCTACATCTGTGGCGTGGGCTGCAGGTGTTCCATCGCATCCATATGCTGCATTGCAATCAACAGGTGGGAAAGCTGAAAGCTATAATATGGTTCTGGATATTGATAAATTTTCGCTCTTATAACCAATGTTCACTTGCATTGATAAGTTCATGTTGGTATATTTTTATTGGAACAAAACCCAAAGCCCTATCTAGCTGACCGGAAAACGCACCGGAAAAACCTCCGGAAGAAGGATAGTTTATTAAGTAGTCGCGTTTTCAGCTGGCGGAGAAGTGTGAGGTAGCTTTGTAAAGTGTGGCCAGATTTTTCGGTACCGCCTCAACTCGCAACGCAACAAAAACAACTAGCAATGATAACTTAAGAAATTTGGTTTAAGGATAACCGGCTCTAATTTCTCTCAGTTGCCAAGCTCACAACACGTTGGCGCGACTGCGGCATTGAATTACAAATTGTCTTTTGTTGCGACTTAAAGATAATGATGGAGTGCGGTCTATAAGTAGACAATCGCGTATTCATACTTGTCATTAAGTAGAAAAACACAATTTTAACCAATCAGAATTGAGATTCGAAAGCAAACGTACGAAATAACTAATTAACAGTTATTCATTTCGCAAATTTGCTGTCTCCTCTCATCCTGACAGTTATGAATACGCGGTTGTTAACTTACTGCTACGTAACCGATAATGATTGATTCTTTTCACCAATAAAACTGCTGTGCACAAGCGAGATTGGGGTTTTTTTCTAGAGCTGAATTGGGTTCGATTCAAATTTTGCTAAAATTATCGATTCTATATTGCGGATAAATTTTTGAGAAAACAGCGTTTTGCGAATTTTAGGACAATTTTTACCCGGAGCTAAATTTTCAGAGCAATCTCATTATCCACTTCCAATTACTGTTCCAGACACTTTTTGAGACCCTCAGTTTTCCAAAATAACTGCAATGAAGTCTTTTGCACATATAGAGAAACACTGTAAAAACTAGTGTTACTGTCTGGTGGGAAGTACTAGAAATATAATTCAGATTTTCTCCGTGATTGTTGAATTGCGCACTTTGGAATGGTTAAGAATGTTTACCCAGTTTTACGCGACTAGAAACTTTTTCGATGGGTTAGTTTTTGTTGCAATGGAACTTTTGTTTGAATAACAAAAATTCTTATCAATTAAGGTGAACTGTTCTTTTTTCATGCAAGATGTTAAACACATCATTGACGGAAACATTTTTTCAAGGTTGATGTTTTTCATCTCCAATTTTGAGGACGATTTTATCTGTCAACATTTGGCTCAATTGACATAAAAATGATTAAAATCGTCTATCCTTCAATTTAATGAGCGTCTGTTACAGTACAATTTTTCCCATTTAAAGCATTTTTGATAGAGTAAATCTGTCTAAAACGCCATCAATACGTATGATATTCATTTCTTAACGCTCTTTTAAAATTGTACGAAGTCAAGTGAAAGAAATTAGGTATATGGGTTTTTTTTCTTCAGACAAATTTCGACTTTTTTTTAACTAGCAATTTTTGACGGATGACGGAAAGTATTGATGTCTTGAGCTTAAAATTGAAAAGATATTTCACCTGTGGTTATTTGCTGTAAAGTTACGGGTGTTTAAAGGTTGCCATTTTGGCCAATTTGGGACAATTAACGCGCGATATATTTCGCGCTATTAACGCGTAAGCGGATATTTAATCCGTCTTAGAAATTGTTCCAAATTGGTTGAAGGAAGCTTATTTGCCATAAATGTTTTATTACAATGAGCGAAATCTATTCTTTTGTACTTAATATGGCGTGTGGGGGATGGTTTCATAAAAAAGTTTCAGATTTTAGAGAAAAAGAATAATTTTTTTTTTACATTTAATTTTTTTTATGTTACTACAGCTCCATAAGCCTTAAAAAGCAATCGGAACATTCAGGGTTTTTCCCTGATACGAGCAGTCTTGGTTTTATTCTTTTTGCGAGCCAGCTCAATTGTAAAGAATTTGGCGTCTGTATAATTTATAGATTGATATCTATAAATGAATAAAATGAAAGGAAAAAAAGTTTTTTTTTTAAACTTTGAAATTTTCTGAGAAAATGATGCCACCACACGCCACATAAAGTACAAAAGAAACAATTCGCTCCTTGTTACAAATCAATTATGGCAAATAAGTTTCTTTTAACCAATTTGGAACGATTTCTAAAACGGATTAAATCTCCGCTTAAGCGTTAAAAGCGCGAAAAATAGCGCGCGTTAATTGTCACAAATTGGCCAAAAGGGCAATATTTAAAACCCTATAATTTGGAAAAAAAATCACAGATGAAATATCTTTTCAAAATTAAGCTCAGTACAAGATACTTTTTGAATGATATTAAAAAAATTCTATCAAATATGGTTTGTTAAAAAGCCGAAAATTGTCTGAAGACAAAAAATCCACCTCGAGCACAAATATTCCGTTGTCTTCGTATCGAACTTCGGAACACGATTGTTCGTATCAGGGCGAAGCCCTGAATGTTCAGATTGACTTTTAAGATTTTATGGAGCACTAATAACATAAAAAAAATTTAATGTAATAAAACAAAATGAGATTTTTTTCTGAAACTTGAAATTTTTTATGGGTCTCATCCCCCACACGCCATATATAGTACAATAGGATAGATTTTGCTCCTTTTAACAAATCAATTATGGCATATAAGCTTCTTTTAATCATTTTGGAGCGATTTCTAAGATTGATTACAACTCCAAACTTGAGCTCATGACAACAAAACCTTTTGAATTACGTTAAAAAATTCCGTCAAAAATGGCTAGTTAAAAAATCGAAATTTGTCTGAAGAAAAAACCCACCCCGAGCACAAATATTCCGTTACTTTCGTATCGAAAGTCGGAACAACAGTTACTTTCGTATCGAAAGTCGGAACAATAATCGTTTATGAGCGACGTGGAGTTCAGTTAGTTATGTCATATGCAGATATCAATAATGCAGAATATTTTTCAAATCTTTAGCAAATTGTATCTTCATTTTCACCAAAAAATGACGCTGATTAGTTTTCATCAACATTTTTTGCTACGCTGTCCTTAGCGCCATCGCTAAAACTATCGCTGTCACGCCTCTGGTTATATCGCTTTTCTTTTGATGCTCTTTCATGAAACAAGTTACAATTTGTGATCACGCGCAAACTTATATCAAGGTTGACATTTCAATTAGTTTTCAAGTTAACTTCAAATTCATTTGCTATATCACAGGGAAAATATACGCCTGCATCCTAGTCTTGCATCTTATTTTTCCTTGTACAATGACAGAAAACTTCGGATCAAGAGAAATAAAATACTCTGCGCTTATATATGAGAAAGTTGTGCCAAAATAAGCTAGCGTATTGGTTCTCTTGCAAAACAAAAAAAAGATTGTTGCGGCCAATTTAGCGTTCATAACTTTACCCGATCACATTAGGAAGGAGTTCAGAGGGCTTTTGCGCATTTGAGACATAAATTTGCTTAGGTAAACTCAAAAAAAATCTGGGTAACAAATGACTGAATCAGCCAATATTAACCGTATTTGGATATTTCCAGTAGTAATTTGAACTGCTGTAAAAAAGCGATTTTTCACGACCAAGTATAAAAAAGAGCCAGAAATTTGCTAGTCTAAAAAATGTTTGAAAAATGATAGCCAATAAATTTTTTTACCACAACTTGAGCAGAAAAATTAACCATAATGATCTAATATGCGTGTCACTGGCACAAATAGAAGGAAGTATTTGATATTTTGATCAATGAAGGGCTAAAAATAGTACCAAAAGGGGGACCCTTTGGGTAGTCAGGGGTCGAATCCCTGAGAGGGGGAGGCGTCCCCCCCAAATCTGCTACAGAACTCCATGTTTGGTTACCCAGCCCATCTTGCGTTCACATAAAAACCTTTTTTAGCTTCTACGAAGTTCAGATCAAAAAATTCTGATGTTTCAAAGCAGACAATAGATCTGATGTGGAAAGATTCTGTTGAATGGCTCATCGCACACGTATGTTTGTGCTTTCTGGAGCATCGATTGATCTGCATGATTGCTTTAAGATCACTTTTCGGAAGTAGTCTGATTGTCAAAACGCCTAACGTGACACTTTGAGCGGTAAATACAGCCTTCGAAACCCATTAATTATTCCTCGCATTGAGATTTTTAGAATCATTTCCTCTTCAAAAAGCATGGTAGCAATCAATGTTTGTGTCAGAAGTTACACGCATAATCACTTAACTCCCTGGAGCGTTCATTAGATTGACGATGGTTGACTGAGATCAAAAACGTGTAGTAACAAAAAGAAGTGATGAAAGAGACAAAATTAGTTCTGGTTCTTTGGCCAAGTGATAAATGGAAGTCTAAAAATGGAATCAAAATCACACTGCAAAAACAAAAAACAACTGATTTTTTGCAAGCAAAATAAAAGCCAGAGCATGAAATTATAATACCATAAATTGCGACTTGTAAACAAAGAGACAACGCAGTTCAAAGAAGTCAACGCAACCCGAGATAGTCAAAAGTCAATCAATGAGTGTGAAAAAAGGATGTTGAAGAATTTGTACATGTGGGGGGGGGGGGGGGGGGGGGGTAATTTAGTGTCCGTTGAATCGAATAATCACTAAAATCATTAAAAATTCTAATTTCGTATATAAAGCTAAAGCAATAATTTCAAATTGAAGATTCTCGATCTGAGAAAGATTTTAGAGAATTTTTTGAGGCCCGAGTCACAGCTAAAAGGGCCATAATCAGAAACAATACGTCGAATACGTCGAGCAATATGTCAGAAACAATACGTCGAATATGTCAGAAACAATACATTGAATGTTATTAGTTAGCAGAGGCGGGTTTTTTTAGTAATCAAGTTGTTTACTGGAGCATCCAATTAAAAACCAGTTACAAAAATACCAGTTATGATTGTGTTTTTTTGAACCCTTAGTTTTGGTCTTTACTTATAAAAATATAAAATTCTGACTGCTATTTTGTGCTGTACTCAAGTCATAAACAAACGAAAAAAAATTATTGAGTAGTTTTTCGAAATCAAAATTTGGCCAAATAACATGCCAAATCTTGTAGTTTCGGGCCACGAAATTCGAACGCCACAAAATTTAAACAGAAAACTTGTTCAGCTGAAAAGACCAGACACTTAAATGTCAAGCATGTCTCATCACAGAAAAAGCAATTGATCATGACAATTTCGGGAAAACCAGATGCCCGAAAACCAGATGTTTCGGGAAAACCAGACGCCTGAAACGTCATCAAGCGTATAAAAGAGCTGAGCGAGAAATGTTGCAGTTGCCCGTGCAATTTTGCCCGTAACAGTTGAATAAGCAACTCAGTTTACCCTCCCAACAAACGACAAACTCACTCAAACGGCTGCACTTAGGATTGCTGAAGTTTTGGAAACTCCAACCGGTATGTCAGTTGATCAAACAATCTCAAGCCAACCAGTTTGGACTGTAACCGCAACGATGAGAGTTTCCAAAAAACTATAGGTGTGGTTAGCCGATGGAACCTATTAATTTACTACCAAAAAATTCTGTCGGCTATTTTCATTTCAAGTCAGAATAATTGGTACTGCAGCAGCTTGCATATACGCTTTCATCCCCAACAAAACTGATAAAATCTACCGTTCGTGTTTGGAGGCTCCAACTAATTTAGCACCAAAATTGTTAAAGTTTAAGCAAGCTACCCTTCAATCAGTATAAAAAAAAATTTCCTAGAGCGAATTTGTCTAGCTGTTCCGAGAAAACTTACATACAGAGTTAGATCAGAGAAATTGTTTATCTGGGTCTAGCCACGACATTTTATAATCCGGTTTTGAAAGCCAAAAACTGTTCTCGTTTTTTTCTTGAATGTGTACCGAAAACCTCTTCGAGGTAAATATTTTCGTTTTGGAATAAAACGTGTTAAGTTATAGAAATGGCTGTAAAATGTAGTGATTTCAAACTGCCGAGTAACAAAAGGTTGGGAGCGAAATCGTTTTGTGAAATCTGATAATGGCCTCAAAAAATGCAAAAGTAATGAGTATTTTTCCAACATAAAATCAAAAAGAGCCAGCAAACAAATTGAAGCAAATAAATCGGCCAAATGAAAAGTGCTTCCGAAATGTGCCCCGTATCACAAATAGTTGTCAGTGAGGCCGTCAGTGCCCAAGGCCGCCTGATTTATTTTAATTGTATTTTATTTAATATCTCTTTCATCCTAATTTTCATTTTTTTTTCATTGTATTTAATTATATATTTTTTAATTTATCTTTTTCATCTTAAATTCAAAAGGATGATCCAGCTAAGAAGTTAAATAAGTGTTGTTTAATGATGTTGCTGAATTGACCATGAATCCACCTCATAATACAGATAGTAGTGTTCGAGACCGCCACTCGGATTCGAACCTCGAGCTTCTTGCACTAAAGCTTTCCATTTTTTTACTCTCTATATACACTAGGTACTTCGCCATCTGTCAGAACCATATCTACTCTGTGATCTACAATAAGTTCACCATGCCCCTCCATATGCTGCTGCCCTGGATGATTGGACCAGTGGTGATGCTGCCTGCAGTGGTCAAGGGGGATGTGGCATTCCGCTACGACAGGCGACAGCTCATTTGCCCCCCTTGGTACTTCACTGAAGACGGTAATGACTTCTATGCATTCTCTCCTCACACCAAAGAATATTTCCTAAGAAGCAAATTTCCTATTAAATACTAAATTTTGTGAAAAAGCTAAACTCATGGGGCCTAGAAATTTGCGAGCTTTACCATTAAACAAATTCAAACTATTTTCGAACAAACCGTGGTTGGTTACGCTCACCGAAATTCCCGATCTATTTTTCAATTTTCTCGGCCAAAAGGATCTGGGTAATTTTTTAATTACATATTTGGGCCGTATTAAAGGAAGCTTATTTTATATTCTTTTTTTCCCATTATCTACTCCCTGTATACGACCCTCTTTCCATCCCATCTACTTGGTTTGCTCTCATTGAAGTTTTTATTGGAATTCAGTAAACTCAAACAAACTGAAATAACATAAAAAATTGGGTGAAAAACACTATAAAAACTTTCAGAGACATCTAAAATTAGACATAATTTATTTGTCTAATGACTATCTCCCAGAATGAGTTCTCTTAGGATGATTTTCATTAAAAAACTATTTGATTTATATCAATTTGTGGTATTATTATTACTTTGTTCAGGTTATGAGCCAGTGCAGTGGTGGGAGACCCTGTGGCTGCTGCCACCCTCTCTGGCCATCATGGCATTCAGCAGCTACAAGATATTCGCCACAGTGCACGAGAGCGGCAGGAACTTCAGTGGTAACAAGACATACACTGAGAGAGACATCCAGCTGCTCAAGGTCAGTCAAATACATATATGTTGATAAAGAATATAAAGTTATACCGATAGAAACAATATCCGAACACTTTTCAGTCAGCTTTAAAACAATACAAGTTCAGTCATCAAAACAAGACTACTAGTATATCATGGCAAAGCCAAAGAAAAAAGTTTTTGCTCTATAATCAGAAAAATAATTTAAAAAATTGGGAAAAAGCATGTTTTTAGCCCCTGTATTGTAATAAATTTTCCAAACTGGCTAATACTTTTAGTTCACTAACTGCATAATTGGCAAATTTCAAATCCTAAAGGTTTGTTGTTTGATTAGCATGATATTGTTTCCTATTTTTTTGTTTCAACAATCTTCTAAACTATTTTCAGTTTGAGACTGAGAATCTTTTGATTACTTCGCTTTGGCCCTTGTAAAAGTCATTTTCTAAACAACTTTTGGCAATTTTGAACCCCTTTCTACTTTCGGCACTCTTTTTGTACTCTGGCCTGCAAATATAAATGCTATTAAAGGTTTCAAAGTTGTTTCAACTGGATTTATCATCCCCACCCCTAAATCGGGCCCTGGTTAGGACTAAGACTAGAATGTTTTGATTGCCCTTTAGGATATCTGAAGCAATTAATATCTTTCAAATGGTATGAAAAATTTTCCATCAACTACGTTTATTAGTTTTTAGTTTCTTAGTTTCTAACAATCCAGTTTGTAACGATTATTAGTGCGGGATAATTCGCCCTAATAATTCGCGCGTGGAAACTATCAAATACTAATCGAGCACTTCCAATCGCATTCAGACTCTTGGCTAGCATACTCGCTTGGCAATCCGAAAATTTTTGCATCGATACGCAGTCATTTTTTGTAGAATTGGTCTGAATAAAAAAAATACCCCAAGCATATATGATGCTCACTTTCTTCAAAAATCGTAACAACAAGGTGCAATAAGTGTTGTTTATGAAGTTTATTACTGCTTGTATGCAGATTTAGCACATGCCATTTGAAAGATTCATAACGCTGGCTATATGAAAGGTTCGAACAGAAAATAACGGAGAAGTTTCACTAAGAAGTGCGCAATTTGCTTTGGAAAAAAACTATGAGGAAGAAATCCGTGCAATTTAACTCTTCAGAACAAATAGATCAAATAGATTTTTTTACACAAAGGTATATTTAACTAAGATAGTTATATTTTTTCTTTATTTTAACTAGTATTAGGTTTATTTAGGGAATACATTCTTTCTAATAATTCGATTTCCGTCCAAAATACAATTTACTTATAAAAATGTGCGTTTTTTTTCATTTTTCTACCTGTACATATTGTACGCGCTAAATAACGCCAGCTGAGATATCAATTTGATTGAAACTGAGGCGAACTAATTAATCTTAGTGAAGTGTCATTTGGCTCAAAGATTTTTTTTGCATTAGTTGACATTGCACTTAGCGTTGACGGACTGCATCAAAAAACCAAAATTATAACACGAAGGCAAAGCGGTGCTTCGCACGCCTTGCGATACAACTTAAATATATAAACTTATAAAAAAGCAGAAAAAATTTATATATATATAAGCTTAAAAAAACTAGGTATAGAAAAATAAAATTTTCGTAAGTCCCGAAAGAAGTTCATTCTAGGCAAACATGCCTGACAGTTTTAAAATATATTAGCAAAGGAGCACAACTTACAAAGAAGAAAAAAGCCGATGTTCTTTGAGCAGACACAAGTATTTAAACTATCAAGTCTCCCCCCTTAAATAAGAATGAACAACGTTTGAATTTGCAACTGCAATAAGACTTGCTTACAACTCAAGCAAAATCTGTTAGCTGATAAAAGTTTAGCAGACAAACGAAAGTCGAACGATTCAATTTTTATCGAAAAAATTTTCTCAATTCCAAGCATATTGAATAAAAAAATATATATCCGGCTGAGACTCGAGTGCAAAGGCGACGGCATAACTTCTAAGCCAAGTGGGAAGGAACTTGGAAAATGTTAAGAAAAGGTAAGAAGCGAACATCTTAAAGAAGAGAAGAATGTGTAAGAAAATGTTCATGGGGAAAATAAAGTGTAGCTCCCAATTACAAGACACTGGCTCTCGCGATTGTAGTTATTAATGAAAGATTTAATCAATATTTTAGTTGAAAAGCTACTAGAAATGATTAAAACGGCATGCAAAGCGTAAGAAAGCAAAAAAGGTTTCGTGGAACTAGGCAATGCTCTGCAATTGCAAACTTTTAATTTTCTCAAAAATTCAGCAAATTAGGCACAAAAGTTTTCAAAAATACGAGTAACCAGATCTTTTAATGTAAAACATAGGTCATACTTGTCTCTGTTTGGGCGGGTAATTTAATGATTTTGAGGCTTACCTCTTTTAATTTATGATCGAAAACGGGGAGGGTTCTCATGCTTGAAGGACCGAATGCTTGAAAAATTTCAACCAATCGAAATCGCTAAGCGTTTCTATTGGCTAAATGCCTTTCTCACAAAATCGAAGTCAATATTAACAGAAAATGTATTAAATCAGTGGAAAATAATCAAAAACATTACAAATTGCGGGTTACAACCGCAATACTATTCAGATAATCATCAAGATTAGTGAGGTCAAAATCATAAGAATTTTTCAGTCTTGAAAACTCATCTGCTTATTATTTAATCAGTCAATATTAACACTAATGGCCTGGATTTATTTTTTTTTACTTTGAGATTTTCGCGATTTACTTTGAGATTTTGAATACTCAATTCTGATGGCTGAAAGTAAGCTAAAATTAATTTCAAGCATTCGGTCCTTCAATCATGAGGGACGCCACCATCGAAAACTAGCAGCATCTTGAAACTCTGCGGTTTAAGGAGTCTTACAGAAACGAATACTCATTCTACGTTATTTCGACGCCTGTGAAACAGCCCAGATTAAGATAAATAATTTAGGCGTATAGATGATATACCTAAGCTGCTGCTCAAATATAGTTAACAAGTTGCAATTTTAAGACATGAGTAACCAAGAGGAATGAACTTTTAGTGAATATGTTCGATAGATTTTATATAATCTTAAGGAGAGGTGGAAAACATCCTTCAAATAAAAAATTTATGGTTCATTTGTTGATCTTTATTTTTTAAAAAAGCCGCATTCAACTTTCAATTTGAACCGGTTCGTCGCAATTTATAGCAAGAAAAAAGAAGACAGTTCAGGGCATGCGTTTTATTTCACTGCTTTTTACGGTCAACTTTTTCAGCCAAAAATGATGCAAAGAGTATCGCAAAAGATATAATCTTTTTTGTGATACTCTTGCATGCACCTATGTACTTCTGCATGCACCACATAACTTAAAATTAAGTTATGCCAACTTTAATAGAACAAAAAACAGTCCAGCCAGAATCCTGTCTAATCCGTGTTAAGAGATAGAAGCTAAATAACATGACTTTTTAATTAAAAAGAAGGGTTTTTACCAAAAAATCTATCTGATCTCGTTGCATAAAAAGGAGCGATAAGGGGTGAGTCTCGTCCGTAATGACACCTCTTGTTTGACCCTGCTACTGTTTTTGTAGGTCCTCATCATCATGTTCTTCGTCTTCATCGGGGCCAACTTCCCCTGGTTCCTATTGGTCAGTTTCGACTTCAACGACCGCGCCCACCATGGATTCTATTACGTCACAGTATGGCTGGTCCACACCGCCACCACCCTCAACCCAGTCATCTATGCCGCCAAGTACCCCCAGTTCCAGAAGTGCTTCAAGGCACGATCCAATTGCCCTCTTTTTCCTAAAACGCATCGTTGCACCAATCTCAGAAAAATGCCAGTTAAGAAAAGTTATAAAAGCAAAGACATGGAGCTCTTTCCAAAATTAAGTTAATTGCTAGAGAAAAAGCATTTGGCTTTGTAACTCATTTGGCGCCGATAGTTGGTTTCCGGAGGGGGCGACGCCCTTTTTCAGCGATTCGACACTACGAGGCTCAACAACCCTAAAATTTGGCGCCAAAATATCTTACAAAATGATAGGGGAGCGGGCGCCACTAACCGCAGTTATTGGTAAAAACTTTCCAAAAGGTGCCCAAAAAGGTCATTTGTGGCCTTTTTTTTCAAAATTTGGCTGCGATCCATATATATTTTTTGCAAAATAGAGCCTTTATAGTAGTGTTTCGGGGACTAAAAGCCAATAGGTTGACAATTGATCCCCCTCGAGAAAAACCTAGATCCGCGCCTTCCTTATGTAACGATCTAACGCGTACGTGAGCAGCTCAATTTCTTATGACAAGCAAATTTTTCATTTTTTTTTTGGATCAAGCAAAAACCACCAAAAGTTGAAATCATGGAAAAAGAGTTGCTTCCACAGAAACTGGCCAACCGCTTCTTCTGCAAACGCATCTTCGTGGTAGCCTCACCTGGCATGAGCACCATCGCAGCACTGAGGAATAATGCGAAAATGAACATGTCACCAGCAGAACATTCGAACGCCAGGCAGCTAGCAAATCCCGAATAACTTCTGAAAAGATTACTTCTTCAAAACAATGAAGTTAACAATTCATTCCAACAAGCAGTCAACTGATCATAATTTTAGAACAATTCTGCGTCAAAAAAGAACTCAAAAAAGAACTCTTGTGTCAAAAAAAAGAGTCAGCTGCAGTAATCGAGACTAGACTTATCAAACAGCATGTTTTGAATAAACTCGAGCAGTGGAAGTCTTTTATTTTGATTTGAATCATGTACTGAAAAGTTTCCGAAAGTTTCTCTGTTTATCGCCCCCCCCCATGGTTTAGTAAACGCAAACCACCCCAGTAAAAACTAAATAGAATGGTTAGGCCGCGAAACTTTTTTTGTTACCTCTTCGGCTACCATCCCCCCCCCCCACACTCACTTTGCAATTGGGGGAAATCGTTAGAGAGATCGGGTTCCAAATTCTCACTACTAATCGCATTCAATTTAAAAAGAACCGCACTGCGAGAGGGCACAATTTCTAGAAGGATAAAACGAGTTGTATGCATTTTGTTTAAACTCAACTACAGCATATCAAAAATGAATGCAAATATATGAATGAAGGAGAATGCTGTAATTAATTTTTTCATATAAAGTTTAGTTTACACAAACACTTTCGATATCTGCTTCAATTCGATTAGTAGCAAAAATTGATTAGGCAAAAATTGATTAGTAGCAATTTCTTACCAGGAAAGGATATATTTTTTGCGTCTGCTAGTGTAACATAAGGGTATTTTCTGTTAAATGACCCAAATTTACCATTTGGTTCTGCTTCTGCTTTTATTGAACTAAACTCAACCGAACTAAGCTCAACCGATCAGATTCGATATATATGATCCAACTTTCAAATTAAAGAATAGATTAATTTTGGGCACTATAACAGAAAAAACTCTCAGAGAAATTTCTAAACCGAACTATTTCGCCGCATAAAAAATTGGATGCGTAGAGATTTGGATGTAAGTGCTATATGTACTACCTTGAGTTTTTAAACCAATTTCGGCAAAAAATTTCCTATATCAGATGAAATTTTTGATGCCTTGAATTTAAACTAAAACAAGACTGCTCGTATCAGGGCGAACCCCTGAATGTTCCGACTGCCTTTTAAGGTTTATGGAGCAGTAACAACATTAAAAGTTAAAAGTACTAAAACAAAATGATTTTTTTTTCTAAAATTTCAAATTTTTTTTTTTAAAATCAACCCCCCACACGCAATATAAAGTACAAAAGGATAGATTTCGCTCCTTGTAACAAATCAATTATGGCAAATAAGCTTCTTTCAACCAATTTGGAACGATTTCTAAGACGGATTAACTCTCCGCTTACGCGTTAATAGCGCGAAATATATCGCGCGGTAGTTCTCCCAAATTGGCCAAAAAGGCAATCTTTAACCCCCATAACTTTACGAAAAATGATAACAGGTGGAATATCTTTTCAAATTTGAGCTTAGGACAACAATACCTTTCGAATGATATCTAAAAAAAATCCGTCAAAAATGGCTAGTTAAAAAGTCGAAATTTGTCTGAAGAAAAAAAACCCACCCCGAGCACAAATATTCCGTTACTTTCGTATCGAAAGTCGGAACAACAAGGCTGCTCCTATCAGGACATAGCCCTGAATTTCTAGACTTGCATTTTTAGGTCCCAGGAAGCAGTAGTTATATCTTAGGGAAAATGATAAGTTGTAAGTTTCAAAAAAAAAAACGATTGAAAAGAGATTTGATTTTTTAAGGGTAGGAACAATAATGAGCGTCTAGCAACTTATTAATAGTTAATTAATTTTGCCGTATAAAGTTGTAACGACTTCTGAGCGAGAAAAAAAAGCCAATTACTCGTTAATAGAACGAAACATATCGCAGTTAATGTTCCGACTTCCGAAGAAAACGGAACATTTATGCATGGTGTGGTTTTTTGTTCAGTCAATTTTCGGCAATCAAAAAAATTTTTCAACAAAACTTTTTTATTGATATTTTTATTGATATTCCCCATTGATTTAGAAAATTTAAAAGGTATTTTACTTAAGATCATTTTTTGTAACTTTATGAGAGTTTGAAAATTGCCAATTTGGCCATGCTCTGGACTACCTTATGCGCGCTCTGAAAATTTTATTCGTGATACTTGAAGCGTAAGACGAATTAGTTATACATGGGGACATATACCGCAC